CGACCAACTCTCCGTCGGTGCGTGCCTGGGCGGTGATCCGTTCCCTAAGGAGCTCACCAACACGAAAATGAGGTTTGGTGTGTTGAAAGAGGAAAATCCCAGGGAGGGACCGTTTGGCGTCGTCGGGCATTGCTGTTTCGGCGCCGAGCCAGAGGTTGGAGATATCATGAAGAATGGGGTTTATGCGGGATTGAGAGAGTATAGGAAGGACTGGGAGAAGAGGAAAGGGCTAGGAGAAGAAGAGGTCGGGAATTTCGAGGAGAAAAAACCGCTGTTGAAAGAGGATAGCGAAGATGGTTGAATGTCCTGCGTATACGATCGCATGACCGACAGGCTCATTCATCATCTCCATATGTTGGATAATCTTCTTAACAGATCTGTGCGCGTTCCGGGAGTCCACCCTATCGACCTTGAACTGAGGACTTATTTTGTTTAATCGCGTGCTAGGCCTATTACAATGACTGGATTTATATACCCCGGGTACAGAATCGTCTGTCATCGAGACACCACGAGGCGTGGCATATATGTGCTGTAACCTCCCTGCTCGAGTCTGCCACCGATTCTGTACTCGCGATATAGGGTACGGGACGTTCGGATCAAGCGAGTAAAGCGTAGTACCCGTCCGCCTATCAGTTAGGCATGCGTGGGCTGTGGAGACTCACAGACATACCTAGGTATCAATGTGAATAGATACTCGCTGGGCATTTCAGATGTCTATCTGGGTTCAAGAGAACCCGTGTATCCATCCTTTCTGATGAAATTTTGTGCACCGATTTTCTACGATGCAATGTCCATTATAACAAGTTGTCTAAGTACAATTTTAACGTGATGTGTTTCCATAATCCAATGCTATGCTACTACCCAATCTGCACTCCTAAACACCACATCTCCACGCAAAAACAAATCACACACAAAAAAAACCCCGGAAAGTTATGCAAACTCGCTACGGAAATACCTAGCCCAACAAAACGCCATCTACGCGAAAGAACCAAAAAACACGAAACAGCTACCGCATAGGCAACTGATTCTGCCACTCAGGATCGACTTTGCTCTGCTTGAAGAAGCTCTTGCCCCTCAACCACTGCCGATACGCCTTGTATCTCTTCTTCCCACCATCCGCCTCCTCCACATCCAACGGATTCTCCTTGATGGTCAAAAACTCGTCAAACTCCTCGATGTCCTCGACCGACGTCTGGAATTTACCCGCCCCCGTTCCTGCTGCGGGTTCGAGCGTCTCCGGGTCCTCGCGGATGCTTTCGGGGTACAGCGGGTGCTGTTGCAGATGGGCCTGGAGGTGTTCGGAATGGTTGTGTGCGTACGGGTTGTTGTACGGCCCGTGGTGGTGTGCCGAGGGGTGCGAAAAGGGCGTGAGTGGGTAGCTGAGGGCGGAAGAGGAGGTGGTTGGTCGGGCTCCCATGCCGCCTGCTGCGTTGTTGAAGGAGCGGATGGATGCCGTCTCGGTTTTGACTAACATGAAGGACTCTTGCGATGACGAGTCGCCGGTGTCTTGATACGCTTGCTGTACGTTGGTGCCGTCGGTCATGTCGAGGTACTCTTGGAACTCCTGTGCCGTGGGGTCATCTGCTACCGGCGTTTCGGAGCTTACTACCAGAGGGAGATTGAGGGGATGCTCGATGTATCGGTAATATTCTTCTTCTTCTGCGCCGCTCACAGTCGGATTAATGCTGTTTTCGTGGAATTGGGCGAGGGTCCACAAGTGGACGAGCGCTTTGTCGGCGGGTCTGAAGCCTTCGTATAGTCCTGTGGATGAAGAATTAGACATGGATGGAAAGTTTCCTGCGGCTGCTGGGACTGAGTTGGGGACATGAGGTTCAAAGGCTGTATCGCGAAGAATCGATTGTTTGACGGGCGACCCGATTTCTGGTATGTGCAGGTGCATGCTCCTGTGGCGCCGAGAGATCATGGTACTCTTTCGAGAATCACCCTCGCTGACCGGATCGAGGATTGTCACTCCTTTTCTTGATTGCTTGCGATCCTCTTTTCCTGGAGAGATCTGATCTTGTTGCTTCTTGCGAACTACAAAGGGGGACGCGTTTTGCTGACGGGTCGGATATGACGTGTCCTTCTGGTGAATAGGTGGGCAATTGAGTCGGAACGCGTATACCTTGAGGAAAGACGTAACCGCAAGCGGGCGATAGTATTCCAGCCAGTAGTCGTCGGCGATATCGACCCTATTCCGTTTAACTTGTATTTGCCTGTCTAGTGGCGGGAGGGAGCGCGGTTCAAGGTTTTCTGGAGTATACCACTGTATATAATTTCTTCGAGGCCTCTCCAGATATTTGCGTGGATCCCCGTGATGAAGATAGTAATCTGTGATTAGATCCCACAGCATGGGTCCATCTTTTTGGAACGTGTAATAGCCAAGGAAAAGGTTGTAAGCTTCTTGACGCTGCGAGTCAAGGAAGGAGTTGTGATAGTAACGTTTGAAGCTCTCTACCATATCTCGAGAGCTGCTCTGCCACTGGTTGATCTTTCGATATGTAGCCATTGTGTTCACGAGATGTGAACCGCCATACTGCATGGCTATAGCATCTCCATGATTATGAAACATGTGTGTGAAGTTATCAACACAGTCTGTATCATAATCCACGGTATTTCCTGAGATCACACCGAGGGCTTGAAGTTGTCGGCCAAGTGCACGCTTCGCAATAACAAATTGGGCAGCGTTGGTTCGATCAAGGCAGTCAATGCAATTAGTACGTGCAACACCGTTTTGCACCTGAGGTACTCCGAGCTCATTATCTCCATTGTGAAAGAATCCAGTTTGGCGAATGACCTTCTCAGCCAAGTGCTCCAATGTACCGATGACATCTTGACCACGGGTCTTGGAGGCCCTTGCCATATCGAACGCTTCATATATAATTTTCTTGTCTTTGGGTAATGACTGATTGAGATAATCAACAGCGTGTTTGTACTCGTAAAGGAGCTTTGACTCTCGTGGTGTCCGTTCACGCTGTTTAATGAGATTTAGAACATAGATTGGTGCTCCGTATCTCTCGAAGAGATTGTCGAAATGCAAAGCTGCAGCAGTGAAGAAAGGATCCGGAAGATTCAGGTCAATATCAGGTTTATAGGACACCCCGCTGTTGTCTTGTGTCCAATGCAGCGGAATGCTCCCTCGATGCTGTACATAGGACGAGAAGCCCGGATTGGAAAACAACCGTGGTCCAGGTGCGTGGAAAGATGTGGTGAGTGCCTCGGAGACAATCTGTTCTGTCTCCACATCGTTGGCAACATATCCCAAATCATTCGTTCCGCGTTTGAGGAATCGTGCTCCAGCAAAATATCTGGACCGCCGCGCAAGGAGTGTGATGTAAATTCTTCGACCAAAGACATCGAGAGACGATTGATCAACTGAGCCATGTATAATTGGGTGACACCAATCATAAACATTCTTCAGGGTCGCCTTGGCTGGCTCAAGAAGAAAATGATTCCATACAAACATGTCTTGGAAATCGCGGTTAGGGTGCGGACGGCCTTCATTGAGCGCTTCTCTCTCACGAATGATGTTTTGCTGGAGACTTCGTGTGATGTTGTAAGAATAGCTGAAATAAAAGAAGCGTGTGAGATCAATATTAGTGAGAATGTTGAGAAATCTTGCTTCATCTGGATTCCGGTCTTTCTGGAATCGTGATGTTGTTCCAGTTGTAAGAGGGACCAACTCGGTACCATCTACTTGATATATGTAGTGGCCTCCGATCATAGCTACTTGCGCTCTTTTGGTAATTAGTAGCATATAGTAGGCTTCTGTGAAGCGGACGAAGCCAAGAAGGCCCCAAGTGCTACATTTGAGTCTCATTCCTCCGGTATGCTTGTTGCCGTCATCAATAGTATTCAGAAGTTGATTCATTTCCCGTTTGTCGTATACTATATCATCCTCAAATATGCTTAGTATACCAGGGGGTGCAGTTCGGTCGATCTTCAAAACTCGGTAGTGCTTGTCCATGCTGTCTGCTCCCACCAGGTAGAACCGAGTACTTGTTTCGTAAAGGGAAAACTTGTGCATTCTGTTGATTCCGCCATCGCCGACTGTCTCATAGCCAGCACCTCTATTCTTTTGCATGGCAGCTGGGCTTGACGATCTCTGGAAAGATATTGGGACCGCTGTGTTCTCTTCTTCACCAGAGAATGCTATTTCTTCCGTATCGCCTCGGGGTATTCCTGGCAGCTTTTCCACGTCAGATTCTGGCTTGAATTCAGCCATGGGAGCATTGTAGTTTGGCCCGAGCTCAGGGCTTCCAACGGCCGTTGAAGCTTGATCGGTCTCATTCCCCTTTTCCAGTGAATTATCCACCGAACTGGCCCTGCGTGACGAACTAGCAATCGAGCTAGCCCGCTCGGTGCCTTCAGATTTATGCCGTGCGCTTTCCATGGTTATGATGGCGGTGAACTAGGGCTCATTAAGTTCTGAGTGCATGACTATTGTTTTGCGGGCATTCGATAGCTGTACAGTGTTTGCACTCAACTCTATGAGGAACTGCCGTGAGTACTTATCAGTCACACAACCGGTATCATAGTAGGGCACAGTACAGCTTTCTGGCTGCTCGGAGCATTACAACTGGAGGATTTGACTGTTTTTGATGTCCAGGTGCATGCGGTGAATGATGGGTGGAGGAGCGCTTTACCGTTTATGGAGTTGCTGACTTGGCCTGCGTCAACATCACGTGACCAACAGCACCTCAACATTCCACCGTTTGCATGTGAACTAATCTTGGAAGTTCTTTGTCTGTTAACTTAGACTCGTTTGTGTATTAGAAGTCCGTAGAGGCAATGATCGAGAATATCTAATTCGATATCTACATATGTATATATGTAGGTATTGACATAACGAGTTCGCCAACTGTCACCCTCACGAAAAGACTAAGATATCCCGATGATTATCCATCGACCCACCACACAACGCACGAACATCCCAAAAAATATACAGTTCTTGAAATGAGCAAAAAAGAATGTGCCACAGATGACACTTGAATTCACGATGATTCAGCCGAGGTTTGAACTCGGGACCTTCAGTGTTCCAACGAGATGTTAGACTGACCTGGACTTGCTGTTAGTAAAGTTTGATAGAAACTGTTGAGGAGTGAGGAAACGTACGTGATAACCAACTACACCACCGAACCATTCGAATTGATGTTGGTCCGAACGTTTATTCAACCTATCACTTTGAAACTATCGGGCTGGTGTGGATCTCGTGGGCGGTGAACCTCCGCTTGTGACTCCGTAACATTTTCTAATATAGTCGTAGCACACTCCACATTTGACTATTTTGATGTGCGAGCTAGTCACACCACCGGTTTATCGAATTTCCCGAAGTAAGGTATAGTTCTAGAGGAATGTGTACCCATATGACTCTATTCCGCTCGTTAAATCATGAATCTGAAAGCCTTCTGCTCCTCCCTAGCCACAATCCCATCCTCCAACGGAATCCCATTGAATTCTATCCGCCTCTTTCGTTCATTCAAGTTGTTCTCTCTCAAAAGAACAGATCGCAAAATTGCTGCCAGCACCCCAACCAAAAGCATGAACCCGGCACAGATTGTCATACCCTTGACATAATACGGTCCATCTTCATTCGGGAATATGCTAGTTCCTAGCAGTGGACCCATTTGCCCTATGATATTCATGATGGCGATACCAGCACCTTTTTTGCTGTCACTCTCTTGATTGTTGATGGTCCACGTGATGATGATGGTGACAGCAGAGAAGAAGCCTGCTGCAGCGGGGAACAATGCAAAATAACGAATCCAGATACTGGAGAATTTATAATAGCCGCAGATGGTTAGGGCGCCGTACCCAAGCGTGGCGACAACGGAATGAAGGATAATGAAGGCTGAGCGTGACCTCAGGCGGTCGGAATAGTATGCAGTAATGAGCACGACGACGAACGCAAAGAAGTAGGGAGGTGCGCATAATGCTTGCGCAGTGATCGATTGGTGACCCATATCTCGGATGATGGTCGGCAGAAAGACAGGCATGCTGCTAAATGCGACATTGCAGCTAAAAAACATGAACTATAGCGATTGTCAGATTCATTTATAAACGTGGGATAGGGGGCTGTGATGTATAGTAATAAACATTACAATAAAGTTAATTGGTTCCTAGGTCTTTCTGACTTCCAGCAGTGATGATACAGAAAGCCACTTACCGCAGTCAAATATGACTTTGGGTCTTTTAGAGCTTCGAGCACTTCGCCAAAATTTACACCTTTCCTCTTCCTGGAAGATGAATATTCTTTCTCGTCAGTTTGATCCTCGCTCTTAGATCCTTTTTCCTGTCTCAATCTCAATACAGCAACCTGCTGTTGTCTGGGTGTCAGCCATTTTGCTTTGCCCGGTGAGTCTGGCACGAAATCCCATGCCCAGACAGCGACCAGCACACTGGGAAATCCCTCGATCAAAAATAGTAATCGCCATGGACTTATCGGGCCATTCTGACCAATTTTGGTGATCAACCAAGCCAGCGTGCCTGCAAATGACGCCGAAAGTGGGCTTGCAGAAATAAAAAGTCCCGTTCGAAATGCCAACTCATCGCGGCGGAAGAAAAATGATAGATAGAAGGGAACCCCAGGCCCAAATGCGGCTTCTCCAACTCCCAAACAGAGGCGAAGAAGAAGCAGAAACTCAAAACGAGTGGCAACAGCCTGCAGCGATGCTATGATCCCCCACGATAGAATACATATTGATATGTATATATGTGGGGGAACCAAACGATACATGAGAGCCATCCATTCAAATGCAACTTTTGTGTGTTAGCATGAAACTTATAACGGTCAGACCATGGTACTACGCACTATATGTGATGTAGAAAGCCCACAGAAGCCACTCATATTGGACGGAGGTGAGGTCAAGATCTTTGGCCAGACCTGCGATTCTGGCATTTCCAATGTCTAACATGATTTTTCAGTATACACTTCAACGAAGCTTTGTGCCTAGACGGTCTTCTTTTTTCTGCTTGGACTTGCATCTAAAGCGTGGAATGAAACAGCACACTTACTCGACCGATCCAAGAAACTCAAACAATAGAGGAGAGCCATGAACAGCACTAAGCGTCGGTCCAGTGTTTTAAGTACACGCTTCTCCTCTTCTCGAGTATAAAGCTCCTCGCTTTGCGCCGATCCTACAGAGAAGCGTCTAGTGTTGGGTAACAGACTGACATTCTCTGGGGATTGGGCGCGTTGTCCAGCGTCATTGTCCCTCAATGCGTCCTCAATAGGTGCTATCGATTGTAGTTCAAGTGCATCTTCGGCGCCGTCAAAATCATATATCTGAGCCGAAGTATGCGGGGAACGGGCCGACGATAGAGATCTGGGAGAGTCGTTGTCTGCGCTGAACGAGGCAGTTGTATGGGTCGGGTGCATGGCGCCAACAGAAGAGGCAATTAAAACCCCGGCCACATCAGATATACTGAGAGAAGCAGTTATTGCCTTAATAGTACAAAAATATATAAAGGACCTGAGCTTCATGGTATTATAGCTGACGCTTCAGCTCACCATGACGCCAAAAATGGTCCGTGCACGCATTTAGGTTTCAGGGAACGAGGGCCATTCGGAATGCCAATAGCTGCATACACTGGTTCTGTTCGGTGAATTACCTATGTAGCTATGAATAGATGGGTAATACGATTTGTGGGATTGGGATCTGCTGAGATCCTAAGGTAAATATGCAGGTTCCGTTCACATGCCGTACAAGTACCTCATGTTGGAGACGGAATTGTTCATAATCTAAGCTGAGGGAATGTCTAACCCCTCATATAAATGGAAAAATGCCGATATATACATCTCTTCGATGCGATGCCAGGTACGCAGGTGGATTTATCTATCTCTCCCCAAGCGTTCTTCATCATCGTCCACTAATTCATATGCAGGCCTAAAATGAGAACTGGGATTAGCCGCCCCTGTGCCATTCGTGGATCCATTCATGGAGTTCTCAGAGGGCTTTTCAACGAGCGCAGGATTTGGCTGTGTATCGTCGGTGCCACCTAGCGATGTGTATCCACGGTCGTACAGTTCACAATATGGAATGTTGAAGTGACGAATGAACTACACTCGTTAGCAAAGCAGGCCATTGACAAGGTGGAAACGTACCGTCCAAATGTCTACATAATGCCAATCTATAACAGGGTGTATGCGCATAAAAGCAGGCCAACCATGATCTGTAGGATCAAAATGCTTCAAATGCTCTCCGTGCGGATCGGTCCGCCGCGTGCCCACGAATATTGCCTTGACACTGGGTGTATCATGCAAATAATCGGTGAAGGCGGTCTTCATAGACTTTGCATATTCTAATAAAGAAAGAGAATATAGCTTCACACTCGACTCAACAAAGTCCTCAACCTCTTGAAAAGGATGCTTCGCTTGTATGTAGACGCATTTGATGGCTGTATCGGGATGGGCGTTGGGGTCGGCGGGTGTAAGGCCTTTCTTGTGAAGAGCGTAGAGGTAGAGAATCAAGAGAACGAGACAGTCTTTCCCGCCGTTGTATGCAAGCGAAAGTTCGGGTAGTCTATCAAGGTGGGTAAGCCATGCGGACAGGTGTCATCTCAATGTCTGTATGCCTACTGGTAGCGCTCCAAAGCTTCAGCTATGACTTGAAGTGATAGTCGGATTTGCGCTTGCAAGCTTTTCAGTCTCTCGGACGCATGGTTCTGGTTTAGAAAGGCGTCCACGCGGTCGTGGATTCTGGCGCAAACGTCGGAGAAGGGTAGCGGGGTAGGCGGGACGAGGGGCGAGGTGGGCACGTCAACGTCGCGAGCAGATGGATCTCCAGCGGTCATTGCGCAGCAGCAGCAACGTCGAGAGATTCGACATGAGACGCAAGACAAAAGTCAGGTCAATTTGGGACAGGTCGAGGGAGTGGAGTTTGGACTCGAGGCATCATGCAGGGCGCGAGAGACCGGCGTGCGTGGCTGTGGCGTAGCATGAGGTGAAGGCTGCCGTCGGTTCGGTTGCCTTATCGATATCGGCAATGGCTCGTATGAACCCTGCACTCCGCATGCGCCATCAACCTCTGGAGTCACGTGATAGCCTGTTTCCGGTCTCATCTCAAGTTCCTTACATGTAGCCAGTAGGTACTTTGCAGGTACTTGGGTTATATAGTGTACATTTGGGAAGATGACTGCGCTCTAAGCAATCAGCCATGGGAATGCAGAGTTGACGTGGAAACAGCCATCTACATCGCCACACAAAAATCAATGCGTAATCCAGATGCCCCGACACACACAAATTGTTTTGTAGAGCGTCTGGGTAATGGCATTTACCTAATCACGACAAAGGGTCTATGACAAAAGGACGCATTTTGATTGGGTCACGAGCGAAGTCTCAGATGACGCGATATCGGAATGCTCTCATTCGGCAGATCTGGAGACGCCTCCAAAGAAAAAATGTAGTTTCCGCTGCCGCACTCATTAACCCAGTTATTACTTTAGATGCCGATGCGGTCAACTACTTCAACCGCTCGCTTCTCCTCTTCTTCATTCTCCTCATAGCACATCAATTGCAGCTATGGGTTCCATCACCACTGCTGGAGAAGCTGGTATGTTCGCCCTTGATCCCCCGCGCTGCTGCCCACCCCTCGTCTACCCCGGACGCCCCATCTGCGAACTATCTCCGAGCCATGCATCGCATTGCACTGCACTGCACCCAGTATTTCTATTTTGTTTACTGACCCTTTGACTGCAGTGGCCCGTATCGCTCACCTTGCTAGTGATGTGATCGTTTCTGTCCAGCCCTCCCTTGCCACTCCTTCCGAATTCTCGGAAACTCTTCGCCAACTCGAGCGGAACAAAGCTTCTAGCATTGTTGCAAAGCAGCAACCAGAGGTCCTTGCCGTACAAGAGAATGCCGATCCGCTTCTCTCATGCTTCACTCCCGTACGCGCTGGCAAACTTACCTCCGTGACCACTTCCTCGTCCATCCTCGTCAAATCGATACCCCATCTTTACAAACTCGCACAATACCCCGTCGTTATCCACGTATCGGTGCAGCCCGCCGGCTTTCCCGATTTTTCTAGCATCACCTCAATCAGGCAGTGCGGATTCACCTTCCTTCAGTCAGAATCTCTACAACAAGCCCAGGACATAGCATTGACAGCTCATGCCTTGGCCATCAAATCCGGCAAGGGCG